TTAGGTTTCTATTCTATGCTATGCGCAGCTGCAACTCTTTATCAAACTATGTCAAGATCAACGGACAGAAGCTTCATCACCACCTGGAGTTGCCCACATGATAGGATACACAACTTTTAATTGGAGGAACCAATTGAACTATTGGGGGTGGGAACGTTGCCATTACTTTGTATATGTGATTTACGCACCTATTTTCTCAGATTCAGAATTCTTTTGTTGCTACCACTTGATTTTCAGTAAAAGATATCTTTTCTCTAATTAAAAGAGTCTAAGTATTTCTTTCATAAATTTTGAATGGAGCACCAGCTGACATCCACAAGAATAATCAGATATTGAGGTGGAAAGGGCTAGAAAAGCAATGATGGGCTGCATAAAAATGAAATGCAGGCCTTGGGGAAGGGATTAATCGGTGTGCAGGTGGGGCCGGAGCTATATTTTGATCACCCTAATGTGGATTCATTTATGGAGGCATTTAATACAATGGAAGATTTGAAGAAAAGGGCGGCAGTTGGGTCAGAACAATTTACATTGGGGGATAGCACTTTAGCATGAACATCTGGCTTGCTAGACTCTGAAAAACAAAATAAAATTAATATTTCCATTAAGGAAAAGCTACTTAAAAGTTCAGTTCAAACAGGTAATGGTGAAAACAAAATTGTCTAGCTGTGGACCCCGAGGAGTGATTGTTTCAAGTAATTATGTGAACTTCCTCTTGTTCATCACCAAGCTATGCCACCTCCTCAACTGGTTGCCTCCCTCCCTGTACCCAAGGCCCTCATGAGGCAGCAGACCAAAGCTTTTTAAGGCCAATCCCAATATGAGTTTGATGGACAAGATGCCTTGCTATCTCATTTGGAAATCCTTCACTGGGCAGTCTTCCTCAACTTAGGCCCATTTAAACATGTCAAAATTTGGATTCAGAAACCCAAGGCTTCTGGATGACACAAAGCTTCCCCAAGTTCATTTCTCTTCCCTAAATTAATGAAATTAAGGCTGATACAATATTGGAAAATCCAGCATTTGCCATTGTGGTCAGCAGCTGAAGAAAGACAGAGGATCTGTGAGATCTGCAGCTTTCCTATTTTCATGACACAAACCAACAAAGGGAACCATTCTTTTATATATTTGCCTCTGAGAGCAATTGGGAATTTTTTTTTTTTCATGGGGGAAGAAGAGGTGGTATTCAGCAGGTTCTGACCAGTTCTGGAGAACCAGTAGTGGAAATTTTGAGTGGTTGAGTAGCAAATCCCACCTCTGACTGGCCCCGCGCCCATCTATTCTCTACCTCCTGAGTCCCAGCTTATTGACTGGGTCTTCTTTTGTTGCTCTGCACAGGAACAGAGCTGGAAAGCAGATCAGTAGGGTGAGGAGAGAATGGAGATTTTGAAGTATATCCTTCCCCTGGAGTGGGGTGGAAATGGGGATTTTACAGTATCATTCCCCTGTCCCATCCACCAAGCAACGCCCACTAAGCCACATAATTCCCACTAAGCCACACCCTGGTAGTAAAAAAAAATTGAATATCACCAATGGGATGAAGGTCAGAGGGAAAGAAGACTGAAGAAAGAAGAAAAGTGGATCCCAGATATATTGTTCTGTGTTGACAAACCCACAAACACAGACTATTCCTGGATTTGCTTATGATTGCATTTAGCACTGTCAGCAGATATCATTCAGTGGCTGGGACTCTCTCCCCAGGGAGAGATCAGAGAAAGTTCATCAGAGAAAAGAGGATCAAAGTCATGTGAAACTTTCAGCCACACCAATAGAAGTTGACCTATTCAAAGGGAATAAGGAGCATTATTCCATCAGAGCAATCAGTTTAGTTTTAGCTGAAAAGAGGAACTTTGAAGAGTAGCGCTTCCTGGAATGCAATAGTCTGATGGATTCCTTTGCAGATGTCACTCATGTATGAAAGTTACATACAAAGAAGGGAGGGAAGTGCCATATTGTTGATTCCTGCCCACAGTGTAACCCATTTTGCTAGGGAATTCTGGGGGTTGTATTTCCAATAATTCTGAAGAGTGCCAAAGGCTGGTAAGGACAGAGGCTTGTCCTTTCTACTAAATTATATACATGTTGGATTTAATTACTCCCTACCCATCTGCATGATAAGGAGAGACATATTTTCAAGAAGCAAAGCTTGCTTGTGATGTTTCATTTGCTGTGCTTTTCATTCAGAGTTCTCACCAAAGCATTCACCTCTATCACAAAAATACATTTTTAAAAAAATCTATTGGCTTATGGACTTTAAAAGGAGAGGTTTATCTATTGTCTAGCTAACCACATTTTTCTTACACAGTGAGTAAGATGCTCACCCCAACACTTCTTTCCACCTACCTGTAGTCCAAGGGTTTCTGTTTTCATGGACTTTGGCTTCCGTTTTCACTTATTATGAGTTGGGAGCAGACAAAAATCCTGAACAGAGGAAGGACAGCCCTACTCCCAGTTACACACATCTTTCCCTTCATGGCAACAGGTGGGCAGTACAAAATGTCAGTGTTCAAACCAAAAACCTTATGTACCACCCAGGAAAAGACAAGAGAAGTAGCTTCCCTCGAGGAAGTCCCAGCCCACCAAGTCAAATATGGCCAGTGTACGTATAAAGGACAGTTGAGTAACCTTGTGGTTTCCTCCCCAGGGGTTGTGGGCGTTGCATGCTTTCTCTCTCTCGCTCATGTACAAGACTCAGTCTGTAGATAAGCAGCACGCCTCTGGGTTCTGCAGTTCTTTCTACATTTCCCCTGAAGGATACACGATGGAAGCGGCTGCAGGGTACCCCTCTGTTTTTGTTGTGGATCCAACACTAAGGGACGTTCCCTTTGTGCCACCCAGACGGAGGAGTCCGAAGACATGTCAAGCTTGCCAGCTGTTCTTGGGGTTCCTGGTGCTGCTGGTGCTGAGTGGCTTAACCATCCAAGCCTATCTCCTGATTTCCTTTCGCAAGGAACTGGACACAGCAATGGCACAGGTCATAGAGAGTGATCAAGCGTGGTGAGAATGAGGTTCTACTGGGGCAGGAAAGAGAGGCCAGGGTGTTGGAGGAGGAACCTAGTCAATGAATATGCTGGACCATTTGTCCTTGGTGTAGTAGTATTTGGTTTCTCCTCAGTTGAAACCAGGACAGCTATGCTGTCATTTGTTAGTGTGGTTGGCTCTACATATCAGGTGTGTGTTCGCGTATGTGTGCAGGGATATGAGAAAAGAGAGTAATAATTTCTTAGGTATGATAAATTCAGGGTTGTACTGACAATGGTCAAAGTAGCTTTCAAAAGGAAAAAATATTGGTGGGAGACAGAGAGAGAAAGCCACTTCCAGCAAGTCAACTGAACAGCAGGATCTAGATTTCAATTAATCTGATCTAAGCATGAGACCAATAATTAGTATATGGCACTGCCATTTTTAGTCTCTTTTAATGTACCTTGTATGAGATGGAAATACAAAGGGCAATTAAACAGTTGCCTCTTTCAGATAATTTTACAGATAAGTCAACAGAATATCTATTTGGAATCTTTGTATATTTTACAAATTTTCCCTCTTTACTTAAGGAAAAAATGACAGAGGCTGGTCTTCATATATTCCTCCAAGCCATATCAATAGCTTGTCTGATTTTGGTAGAATGTTCTATAAATGAGTCATTGCATGCTTTCTAAATTATTGCAGATAGCTAAACAAAATGTATGAACCAAACCCACTGAGGGTTTATACTCATCAGTCATGATTAATTGTGAATTAGCCTGATTTGTGAGTCTAGCCACTGTACTGTATTCAGTTGGCTTCTTATCCTAGAATCCTCTCTTAATTTTTTGCTCAGTTCTGGATTATTAATTACTGATAAAAATGCAAAAATAAGGGGAAATGCTATCCTTTTATTCTGGCTTGTGGTTAAATCCTTATGTTGACAGAGATTCAAACTTCAGATGTGTTGTAAGCCACATAACCTAGGAATGATTTCCATGTTGAATTGAAATATGTTATTTTTTTACATCTCCTACTACTTAATTTACCATTATTCTATAGACAGGATTATATGTAATTTAAGAAGCACAACTTTCTTTTTTTTACAGCTAATCCCTGGTTGTTCTGATACAATAAAATAATAATGTTATTATTATTAATAACATAATAATATAAATGCATACCCAAACTAATAGTAACAATTATTATTATTAATATTATTATTAATGACTTTCTGTGATTTAAGATTTATTTCCATTCAAATTTAGGCTGTGCATGAGATCAGAATATACAGCATTAGGAGGTCTCTGTTTTTATCACATTTCTAATAGAACCATAGTAGCATAGGTTTTCATGCTAAAAGGAGAGTTCTCTTCCTCTGTTTTTGCTGGCTTCCGTTCAGTCTGACTTTCTGCTCTTGCAAATGCAGCTAGATTTGGGGGCAGGGATAGGCAGTTCTAAGTAATATAAGCTATTTTCACGCATACTTATGCCTTCACCAATTTCCCTTGCTGAGGCATTTGCAGAATGTTTCCGGGCACTATTCATCCTTTCTTAAGAAGTTTCAACACACTGGATATTCTCGGTGATAATTCAACTCATCAAACTGAAGAATGAATGAATATTAAAGAATCCTGTGAGGATATCTTGACCAACTCATCCCATGCATGATCTCTGTGCATATATAAACAGCTAACGCAAGATCAAAGTTTGTGGATAAGTGCGCAGATGGTGAATTCACCTTAATTTAACCTCTGTTGTGGTTGCCCCAGCTGCTTGTTAGTTTATTGATTTTTTCAAAGATTCTTTATGTTCCTGTTGGAGAAATAGAGGGGAGAAACATGTGGAATCCAGAATTTTGTTCAGAATTCGGTTTTGAACTCTGGTTCTATTTTTTTTTGGTGGAAATTAATATTCCAAATAAAGATGTTAAATAAATAAGAATGTTTTGTGAAGAAGAGGCATGTATGAGTAGAAAATGAATTTCTAGTGCTTTTTCAGTTGGTTTATTAACAATTGTCTACTGGGTTTGGTTTTTTTAGGGAACAGCCAACGCGACTGCTGAAAAAATTATACAAGGTAAATTTCTCTTCTCTTTTGTTCCAGTCTTCACCTAAACTCGTTTCCATAGGATACCATTTAAATACCAGAGTCATAATTTTTCAGCAATTAGTGGGAAGTAGAATTAAACAGATTTCACATATTGTTTAATATGGTACTACAGAAAGTTCCATTTCTACATGACAGCTCCATAAAGCAAAGGACCAGGTTGGGGAAAGAGGGTTATGGAGCAAATCTATCTGTGGTCACTAAAATTCAATATCAATTTGATGGCACATGACCAATCCTTCCAATGCTAAGTGACAATTTCTATGCTGCAGTTTACATGCTATTCCTTCCCTCCTTGCAGGGTGGGAAGTGTACTGATGACGAAAGGTCCTCTTTTAGCCCATTCTGCCCCACACAATGGGTGTGCAAATGTGTATATACATACTCCAAAGTTATTGGTGTCATCTCCTGACTGTTTTCCCTTTCCAATAGTGAATAGTCCCAAATATGCTTTTTTCCAAAGGGCAAACAGATGTTTCACTTCTCATCCAAGAAGCTTCTTCAGCTCTTTCCAAAAGTCCATTTTGCCTTTTTTGGGGGAAACACTTTTAGGACAACCATGACTTGGATGACTGAGAATCCCCATAGACAATAAGGAATAATATTGCAATGAAATATAAGAAAGAGGAAAGCAATTCAATTCAATCATCAGTGTGTTTTTACTGTACAAATGAAACGCTTGTGCATAGTTCTCTTCACTGTTAAGGCTTAACAGATTAGCATTTCTCAGATTCATTTTGCAACAGAACCTAGCAAGTGTTAGGTAAACAATGGTAAACCATATGGATTCATCATGTCAAAAATGTAGGAAAAAACCTAACTTGCCACTGCTGGCATGTCAACCCCTCCCCCAAACAGAAAAAATTCTCTATCCACTTAGGCCACTTTGAACAACACTACGTGACAGCACTGAGGCTGAAATAGAGTCCCTGGGCCTCGATTTCAGCTCTAGTGCCACCACTGCCATTCAAAAAGGCCACCTAGTTCCCTTCCTCGAGGCATGTGAGCCTTAAAGAATGGCATGATTGATTGCTCTCACAGTCCAGTGTTCCCTGGGATCTGCTGACCTGTAGGCGGCCTTCTGCAGCCGACCTGAGGCTACTCTGGGTCACCTGAAGACTTTGTTCTTAAGCAACTTTGTAGAATGCTCTCCTGCAGCCACTGAAAACTCTACAAAAACCATTCTTTCACATCCTTCATGGCTACCAAACAGTGCATGAAAATGGCTCATGTTCTTGAGAATAGTTGTTGTTGGAGGTAACGAACGTAGGTGTGTTGTGTCATGTCTCTTTTGACACATGTCATAAGTTTACCATCACTGTATTAATCTATCAATAGCCAAAGATCCTCCACCCAATCTTTAAAAAAAGACATTCAGGAATATTATTTTTAAAAGTCACAATTTCTTGATTTTTTAATAGTTCACTGGTTGTGGTGGATATTGCTCCTGTAATATAGTACAAATACCCACATTTTGTCTCTTTATTCCAAAGTATTTCTCTGGGCTGAAGGAAACTTGAAATGATCTGGATTTCTTAGCGTTGCCCAGTTGCTCTATCATCAGAACAGACAGGCAACTATTTCTGAAAGGCAAAAAATGGAAGACTTCATTATCTGTTAATAGATGATAGATAGATAGATAGATAGATAGATAGATAGATAGATAGATAGATAGATAGATAGATAGTAGGCAGGCAGGCAGGCAGACAGACAGACAGACAGACATAGAAAATGTCCAGGACCAATACTGACAAGAAGAAAAGTTATTGGCAATTGCTTTCCTGGAATAAGGTGGTGGGAGGGCACAGGAATGAGGGAAATAGTGACTGAGAGTGAAAGCCTGCAGTCCAGACTGAATAATTTGCAAGCTGGCAAAATGTTTCACTCTATATAAGAGCTGCTTAAAACTGCTTAGAGTCAGGTTTGTTGAGGACTGGAAGATTATTTGATGAATGCTCCTTTAATGGCCCTTTTTAGTTCTTTTGATAGAGCACCAAGTGGTAAAACACAGAGAAGAATGATAGCTAGTGCCAAAATGTGTTATTCCCATTATTAGGGCTAACTGAGAATCAGTTTGGTTTCTAGCACCAGGCTAGAAACCAGGAGACTGTATGTTCTAAGCTCACTTTATCATGCGAGCTAGCTCAGTAACCTTGAGACAATCCCTTTCTCTCTGCCCATGATGCCAGGCTTGGCAACAAGCTGGTTGGTCAAATCCTGCCACAAACATCAGCACTCGGTTGGTTAAAAAAGAAAAAGCTTACCATGGGGAAAACACTAGGAAGAAAACTGTTTTTTCCAAAAGGCAACTGGACTGCCTTGAGTTTTTTCCCCCTTTGAAAACATTTTGCTTCTCAACTAAGAAGTTTCTTCAGTTCATTATCAGAACTGAAAAAGCTTTCAAAAGAAAAAATAAAACCAAGCAAGTCCAGTTGCCTTTTGAAAACAGCACCTGTAGAAAAACTACAACCTGGATGGTTGAGAATCCCCATAGACAAGACTAAAGAGGAAAAAAAAGTTGACTTGGTTAGGGAACTAGAGTGAAATCTTGATCGGTTTTTCACTATATAATAAGACTCCATACAATAGCAACTCTATAAAATCAAATCAAGTCTTTAAACTGACACCTTCCATTACCCACCCTCTCAGTTACAATTCTGGTTACATACTGTGTCAATTTTTCCATAGTTTAAAGGAATAATGTATAATGTATTAATGGAACAGTTCATAGTAATCTATTATAAGCATGGAGAAACGCTGTGGGTGAGACACTGTAGGAGTGTGAAGGATCTATAAAAAAAGACATACAGTATACATCTTGATAGAAACAGCAGTGGAAAGAGTAAAAGCAAGAAATGTCTATTACCAAACAAGCCACAAGAATTACTGTTTGAGAATTGTTTTTCCCACCAGATCTCCCCAATGAAATATGACATTCAAATAGCATAACTATTGGAATTCTGGGAGTTGTAATCTCGAAACTTTTGAACACAACCAGACCAGTAAAGGCTGAATGAGCAAGTGAAACATCAATATACACAATCTGTCTAGCCAGGCCATGCAACTTTCTCAAAAATTACTTGACAATTACCTTGGTTGGGCCAATTGAATAGGAAAGAGAAACACGATTCTCTTCTTCCATTCCCATCAGTTCTGGGAAGAATATACCTAGACTGCCATCATTTTCCATGCACAATTTAAGGCCCTGACATTGTTTCACAAAGTCCTAATCAGCAGGACCTGATTATCTGAATGACTACATTTTCCATTCTGCACCTGTCTTGGTACCAGGTCCTGCTTCAGAAAGATGCTCCTACTCTTCAAAGTCCAGTTAGCAAATGCAGGGAGAAAATGTCATCTCTTGCTCCCAAATTACAGGACAATTACAGAACAGGAGATCCTAGTGGTGAAAACACTCGCCTCCCACTCGGAAAGTTGAAATCCTAGGTAGTAGCAGATGTTTCTTTTCTAGGGCACACAGAAAAAAATATCTGCAGCAAACTCCACATAGGTGTCAAGAAGGACATCCAGCCAGCAAATACTCAGCTCCATCTAATCGCCCAGACTCTACCCGAATAGGGTCAATAGGGTCATGAAAGGGAGTTTTGTGTTATTGATAGTTTTAGTGCATATAATTAGTACATTTTATTTTTCAATATATAATTGTATTCTATCATTTGCAGTGTTCATAATATGCCTTCGTTAGCTTGCATTGAGTTTGTATAGAGCCTTCTCAAGCTACCTGTTTTGATAACAATCAGTTTCATCTTATTCCTTTTAACAGCTCCACCCAAGCTTCCTCTCAAAAGACCATCTGCTCATCTGACACTAGGTAGGAAATCTTCTTATGAAGTCATATTTTTATTCAGCTTTTAAATGCATGGAAGCTGGAGTAGGACTAGTTTGCTGCTTGTGAATAAGACAGAATTCTTGAGACCAGACTGGGAGATTCTGGGAATTGAAGTCTACATCTTAAAATTGCTGAGATTGAGGAACACTGCTTTAGATATCCGCAAAGCTAACGCAGACAGCTAAAGCTAAACTCTGTTAGATTTCTGTTCCACTTTCCTTCCAGGAGAGTAAGATGGTACTCCCTCAATTTATTCCCTGTGATGGAGGGTACACTAAGAAAGAGAGCGGAATTATCTACTAAAATCACCCAGTGAGGGTGGATGTCTCATATCTACAGTAAAACAGCATCCATATGTGAGGCTATTATGTTGAAATGAATGTGGCCATGCGGGTGAGGGAGGTAAAGTCAGAGCTCACTGCCCTTTCCCTTCCCAAAATGAAGTTTCGGCTTAAATTGAGGCAATGATTCTCCCGTGTTCAGTGTTCTCTATGCGTGTATGTGGGTATGTGTGTGTTTTGAAGCCAGATTGTTAAAATTAGTTTTCATTGCTAATCTATTAGTGAAGATTCTATGAAAATTGTTTGCTTACCTCCCCGCCCATCTATGAAATAAGTCTGGTTGTATTTTCCAGAACTCCCTGACACTGCGATTATAGATGGAGTCCTGCAGTGGGAACATCAGAACGGGCTTGCCTTTCTGCATGACATGGACTACAAAGCTGGTTCATTGATTTGCAGCAAGTCTGGCTACTACTATGTCTATTCCAAGCTCAGCTTGATGTATTCAAGCTGTCTAACCAAACACCAGAGAAATTCTCTTTTCACCCACCACATTTACAAAAGGACACCTCGCTATCCTGAGAAGATATTACTGCTGACCAACTACATTACCTATTGCAACTCCAAGGACAGTGAACAGTGGCACGGCAATAGCTTCCTTGCTGGGACGGTGTATCTAGAAGAGGAGGAAGAAGTGTTCATCAAAATAACAAAACAGGAGTTGTTGTTGTACAAGGATGACTCAGTATCACATTTTGGCACCTTCATGATCTAAAGGCTATAAGGTTGTGCATAGACTTGATTTTAGTTGAGCAATGAGAAGGACCCCTTCCTTGTACCGTAGTGGAGTCACCTCTCAGTGTTGCTTCAGACATTTTTCGAATATATTGAAGGTCTGCTCATTTTTTAGAAGAAAAAAAAAGTTTGATCAACTGTTGGTTGGCCATGACCAAAATAAAAAAGGGTGAAAAAATATTTGGTGTGGGAGGGAGGACATAGGAGAACTTCTATTTCTTCAAAGAGTTACCTGACATTTCTTTGGTTGAGCTATCCATTAGTCACCCATGACTGGCATCCCAAGTGAATGCCTGTTTTAAGTAACAAGTGCACTTATTTGGAGGGTGGGGAGGGATAACTCTATTTTTAATACATTATTATTATTATTTGAAATGCTGTAAAATCCTGCAAAGTCATGGTGTAAGGAGTAAGGAGTCATGGTGGACAAAGAAAATGAGATGACAATGTAACACCACCACATGGTCTCTGAAAAGCTGTTGTATGTACAGGAGCCTTTCCCCACTTGGACCTACCTACAGCATAAACTTGCCCTGGCAGTCTCTATGTTCTTCCTTGTCCCCATGATCTTGGTCCTTGCCTTGGTCTTGTTCTCAGCAGCCCAGCACTGAGAAAGCCTTGGAATGATGTTTTCCTCTCTTATTTTGATCCTTCCAGAGTCACTCTTGGAGTGAAGTCAGGGAAACTACCTGTGAGTGGAAACACAGGTAGTTGTGAAAAGTAATAAAGGCAGGACAGGGATGGACTCTGAGCAGAGACCCGTTCTGCCTGGGGGAACATAGATGGGTGGACAGCACTTCAACTCAGCAGTAGAGAGAGGCCCCTAAATTCAGGATCAAGATTTTGAAGGGCTTACTCATGAGTCACTTCATCTTGAATAGATGAACCACATTCCAGAATGGCCGTTTTATAGTTATACTGACACAGCATTGTTGAGCCAAGGAGCTTCCTGTGCTGGTGATCGTTGCTTATCACTGCAGTGAAACGTCAAATGTAAGCTAAGCTTGAATGGCTGGGCAGCTTCCTGACTATGACACGGGTCCTGTAGTCAGGAAGAAATCCATTCCTTTATTATTGGCTTCAAAGCCCGGGAAGCCATTTAGTACTTGGATAGACATTGCCACTATGAGCCTTTAGGCCTTATTTATTCACTGATGCTTCTCCCTCACCTCCTACCAAAGGACCTTGGAAGGGGTTTTTATATTAACCATTCTCTTCTACGAATGCCTAGCTGCTTTTCCTTCTGCACAGTTGCTGCATTAACATAGGAATATCCATATAATGGTATAGGACCACATGATTGTGTTAGTACTGTAATGCCCAAATAGGGCAGTATTTCCTGGATTAGTCACTGGCTCGTGCTACCCAATCAGGAATTATGTACTAAACAGGGTAAATCCTGCCAAACCATGTGAACAATCAGATTTGATTACATTATATCCCTTAAGGAAAAGAGGACTATATAACGAAACAGAAGCATTCAAATATCATTGAAAGCAGAAGAGATGTGATACTTTTTGAAATATGGGTGCATGGCTACCTTAATAGTGAAGGTATGATTAAAAGTAAAACTTCTCTAACCAAAATGACATCTGCCTTAGTGCTCCAAAAAATCATTCTGCCTTTTGTTAAATAAGAAGGTAATGCATTAATTCCCAATCCTGTATTGAATGAGATCATTATACATTGGCCTAAACCAGGCTCCTAAAGAAGGGCATCAAGCAATTTCAATGGAACAGCTACTGTATGTGTCTGATAAAATAAAATTCCAAAGATTAATGTGTCAAATACATTGTTTATGGGCCTGCTGTGAAATAGGACTTGAAAACTAGAGCTATGATAGAGTATGGCAGCCAGGGATGTGTCCACACTATACTGCACCTTGTTTAAATTACACTGGTTTCCAGATTATTTCCCAACAAAGTTTTTATACTACCTGTAAAGCTTTTATCAGTTTAGATGGAGGCTTTCTCATTGCCTCTTGGCCTGGAAGGACTTAGATTAGCTGGCAGAAGTGTCTGTGGGGTAGCAGAAGGAAGATCCAAAATGTCAACAGCCAATTGAAGTCCTTTTTTTATCTGTGTAGCATGTAAAAAATGGGCTAAGATTTTGATCATGCAGCTGCAGCCTACTCTTTTTTTTTAACCTCCTCTGCAGACATTCTGGGATAATCTCACTAGCAGGATCAAGCCTTGGAAAATTTAATTGGCTTCTTAGCTTTCACTCTTGAGAGATTGGTCAAAACCTCTTATCTTCCAGGCTTTTTGGAGAGTTAAGCTTGGCATCCTGCTGCTATAGTTGGTTGACTGATACTCAGTTACTTCCTGTTCTTTTGTGTTTTATTGTGGTATTACTATGACTTGATACTATAAGGCTTTTCATATAGTAAATAGCCTTATTTTTTTTATTTTGGAATTGAAAGACTGGTTTTGTATCTCTAAAATAAACAAATATGCTTTTGCAAAAGCTATCTAGATGGTGTGGTCATGGAGAGCCCAGCAAAGTTTGACTGAAGAAGCAGGGATGACAAAAGATGTTGAAATGGTGTAAGCCAGTTAGGCCTTATTTACTTTTATTTCATAAATTATTTGCCAACTCTGGTCAAAAGATACATATACATACATGTGCCTCTCTCAGAACCACTTTTACATCACTGCAAAACTCCCTGACTCTAGATTCTTTGACTTTTCAGGAGCTCTTAAATCTCTATACATGTCTAATGACATGTGTAAGTCCTTCAAGAAAAGAAGAACAATGGAATGAGAACTCCCATGAGATAGTAGTATTTCATAGATGGCATCCAGAGCATGCTGAGACCTCAGACCTTATCTTGCAGATTGAAGCCATTGGAAGAAGATGATTCCATTGCTATCCAGCCCCTAAGCCTTGCAGGAATTTAGAGTTGTCTACCAAACTTGGAAACAACTACTTATTAGTGCAGCTTCTGAATCAGAGTATCACTTGTGTGGCTTTAGGTTACACTTCACTGTCTTAGTCACAGTGAGCTAACTGTGGGCTTCCAAATGTCATGAAAAACATCGTTCTAATATCTTGATCATGAAATGTATCTCCTGGTGTAGCAACTCCCCTGGAGATTGCAGGTTGCCTCAGTGGAAGATGCTACTTTTTTTTATGCTAGGGAATTAAAGTAAAACTGAGAATAATATAACTCTTCTTATTATGTATAGGAGGAAAAAGGTTTCTGGATAACCATGGATGAAGAACAAATAACAATTAGGTTCATTTGGAGATAAATAGGAAAGTGGTGGTAATAGAGGTTTGCAATGCTATTATATAGATTCACATGGCTTCTGCTGTGCCTCACACTTGCTTCCTTTAGTCAAACCGCATCACAAGGGCTTGACAGCATTACAGAAAGGATTTCCTGTGGCCTGCAATGCTTGGCTGGCTGGAGTGTGTTGAAGAGAAGGGTGGTAGCTGGAAAACTGCAACATTTTTATAACATGAACCAAAACCATGTGCTCAGTTTTAGCAGCATTGTCTGGTGTGATAGAAAGCCACCCCGATGAGCTCCATTTACTGAATACTGGCCCTTGTGAAAGGAATAAATTAAATTCCAGGACATTAACCTGAGGCTTTGGGTTGAACCTAGAGGTTCCTCCACCAGTAGCATTCTATAGACCGTACACTGAGGGTTCACGAAGATAAGTGAAAGCTGAAGAATCACTGAAAATGCACAGGGTGCTTTCAAGTACATGAAAATCACTCTCTCTCTAGTTTAGAGCTTTTCCACATTTGCATCTAACCGCAACGCAGCCATCTTTATCTGTGCCAGGGTTAAAACTTCTATTTCCACCCTTAAGTAGGTACCATCAATTGAGGCTTTAAAAGCTGTTGCCTTTTACTGATTTATACAAGAAACAGACTAGTATTTAGCAGGGGGTG